ATTCTGTCAACTCAAGACACACACACGGGTGCCAACCGAGCTCCATCTTGCCTTGGCAAGCGGACGGCAAAAAGCATGTGGCTTCAGAGTAAGACTGTGGCCTTTAACTGTGGTTTTGCCACGCATTACCTGAGCAGTTACTTCACATCTTAACATACCATTCAAACCTTGGCAGTTTCCTTCACATCTTCGAAGATCAGCCTTCTCATCTATAAAGTGGCATAATAAGGGGCGCCTGGGTGGCTCAGCTGGTTAAGCGTCCGACTTCGGCTCAGGTCATGATCTCACGATTCATGGGTTCTGGTCCCGCATCGGGCTCTGCGCTGACAGCCCAGAGCCTGGAGCCTGCTTTGGATTCTGTGTTTCCCTCTCTCTCTGCCCTTCCCCAGCTTGCATTCTGTCTGTCTCTCTCTCTCTCTCAGAAATAAACATTAAAAAAAAATTTACAAAGTGACATAATGAAACGGGTTCACAACCCCCCATGCTAAGCCCCTGGGCCAGATAGGTCACATGACTCGGAATCTCTTTTGTAACTTTGGAAAGTAGTATCATATACATGTAACACCCCAGGTGTGTCTAGGGCAGCAACATATAATCATACACATTAATGTTTCCGTCGCTAAAAAGATGAATGTCCCATTTGTGGGATAAATAAAGACCCTTAAGGAGCCTTATCTCATTCAGCTCAGGTTCTGCAGCTAAATTAGCTTTCCCACAAACTTAGGGAAACTGGTGATTTTCAGAGCCTGTGGAAATCCAGAAGTGCGTATTAGGGATCACGGATCTGTAGTACCTACTTCCCTCGAAGAGATAACATGAGGATTAAGTTATTATACACAGAAGTTACTTACCCCAGTGCCTGACATACAGGTAGCACTTCGTATTGGTCATTGCTCTAAAATGTTAACTAGTTACTAAATGAGTTACCAGGTGATGCAAGGTGGCTTAAGGGATTCGGCTGGCTTGTGTTAGCTGGGGGCCGGGCTGGGCAGGGGAGGGGGGGTGATACAGGGGTAAGTACAGGTCAGGAGGTAACCGAAGACAATTACGCTAATTAAAATAAAACAAAATGACAATTTACTGCCCCTAAATTGCAAGAAAATAATGCATCTGTAACACTGACCTCTTAAGTAAACATTTACTTCCTTTTGATAAAAGGCAGTTTCTCCAGGAGGTAAGATCTGAAGATACTTAATAATTTCTGCTTCACATGTGGTTTCCTACTTGCAACTCGAAACAGCGTTCTTCCTATAAGCGGGTCTGATATTGAAGATTTTGCTTCAGGCAGGGCCAAAAAAACCCCGGTTTCTCCTTAGCGTAAAAGATTAAAATTAAAAAAGCAGTGAAGTTCTTATCAAGCATGGCAGGATTATAGCAAAATTTGAGAAGTTAAATGGTAAGTGCAAGAAGTATGTTGAACCCACCTCCCAAACGAGGGAAGTTCAGTTTACCCCCTTCTCGCCTCCCTGTTCTATTGGTTTTCCTGATCCAAACTCCTAGAGACCTAAGAGTCAACGGAGAGAATGAAGGGAACAATCGCTTGTTAAGCACCGCTTGGTGCCATGTATCTTTGATTTATTTTCACAATTACAAGGCGACCGTCACTCTCCTCATATTAATAAGAATATTGAATTGGTAGGTGGGTAAACCATGATTCAAACTCAAGTGAGACTAACTCAAAACCCCACAGGCTACTTGGGACTAGACCGCCCCCCCCTTACCAAAGGAGAGAGCGGCATCCTCACTTTCTTGACTCTTGCCTTCTTTTGTATTCTTTACCAGATATTTTCAAAGTGCACGCAATAATGTGGGACTTATATGATCTCTCAGAGTAAAGACATTGTCGTTCTTTCTATGATCCCAAATTGAAAACGTACTTATGATTTGATCTTGTCTCTCAAACACTAAGGGGATCTCCATAAATTTCAGGCACTGTCTTTAGTGTTAAGAGCATATTTACATGCGTATTGCATTGTTCCAATCAGCAGCATAATTATAATCAAAGAACCTCCAGCTTGGTAGAGATTTTAAGGATAAAACATATACTTAGTTGAATCACCGTTCTGGTCATAAAGATTTTTATGGGGTATGACCTCCCAAATATCCTTCTATTGCCACGTTAGAGTTTAATGATCTTTTCAAGAGGGTCTTCTTTATGACAAATTAGAATCACCCTTTCTAGAATTTCAGCTCATTCTACTTGGGTCTGACTTTCAAGGAGACGACTTAAGGCACTAACATACCTGTCATTTTACTTTTAGCTGAAAGTTTGCAGCACAAATTAAAAAGTACAAATGTATTTCAAGACAGATGTCAAGGTCTTTCTCCCCCTTCTTCCCGTAAACTAAACTAGTGACTTCGGTGACTCGAACCTTTCCTCCCTCCTGTCAATGCCCATTCATGCTGGCCTTTCCAGTATCTCTCCAATTGTTCTGCGTCCCTAATGAGCTTTGGGGAAAATAATGGAACATTATTAAAGTGTTCAGTTTAGTAAACTAAGAGCTCAATGACTTAAGCTTTAAAAAAAAATACTCCAGAGTCATGCTCATTTTTGAAAGTACAAAACTGTTGACCTATTTTCAGTTTGTGGAATGCTATGATTTGAGTCTAAACAATTAGCCTCATCTTGAATTTGTGTGATTAACTTTTAACCGTTATTAAATTTCATGACGTCTTGGGTGGACCACTGAGGGGATTTATTTTTTATTTGCAGATAGGTAATTGCATAGGCTGTTACAGTAAGGTTTAAATGCATACTTGAGGAAGATGGAAACGTATTTGGAATCTATTATCGTCAAAGACTCTAGAATGCTATATGATGAAGGAACCGTGCTTTGATACTATTAACACTGTTACTACTATAAATGCTACTATACCCTAGAATTTTCAAGGCTCTATACACACACAGTAACTAATGGAAACCACTTTTAAGAGCCACTGTACTTAACTGCCAGACTTGGGATTATGAAATACATTCAATATTTTAAATTGTATAAAAACTGATAACGCTTATCACTGTCACTTTATGGACAAGATATAATTAATACGGACAGTCTGCATTTGAGTTTTTAATAAATTTTTCTATTTTTGAAACTATCCTATTGTACTTTTTTTAATGTTTATTTTTGAGAGAGAGTGCACGCGCGTATGGTAGGGGCGGAGGGAGTGGGACAGAGGATCCCAAGCGGGCCTTGCACTGACAGCAGTAAAAGCATGAAGCAGGGCTCAGACCCACAAACCGTGAGATCATGACCTGGTCTGAAGTTGGACGCTCAACCGACTGGGCCACCCAGGCGCCCCCAAAACTATCCTACTATTTTAAAACCAATTCTCATTGGCCCTGGTAAAAAGTGTATCCTGTGTGCTATGTTAATTCAGTAAGTACTGGTGGAGGAGAAACAGACGTAAAGAAAAATGCCAAGAGGCTAATCTGTGTTTCTATCTCCACAATGCCAGTAGGAAAAGAGGTATGTAACCTCGATCCACGAGAGGCACAGTTCGTGGTTCTAATTTACAGTCCTTGCACAGAGGGAACCAGTGCAGAGCAGTAGCTGTAAAGCCCGATCTTCTAATGAACCTGCCTTTCAGGCCACCACCATTCCCAAGCATGGCTCCTGAAGAACTTTTTGACCAGAAAATATAATGTGAAAATTACTAACACAGTGGATAACAACAGAAGAAGAGTCACAAGATCTGGATTCAAATTCCAGATTGTCTATCTACTAGCTCTGGAACCTTCAAAGGTGTTTCTTCACCTCTATAAATCTTAGTTTCCACACCCACAGCAAGGAGACAACCCCCACCCCATACAATGGACAAGCTGAGATAAATTAAATAAGATGCTGACCACACAAAACAAGTTTGTAAGGTGTGATCTGCTAAGTAAAGCATATATTATATACTATATGTAATTATTACATATACTATTATATATTATTATACGACATATATTATATTATAATTACTGTCTTACAAACTATGTTATAATATAAAAACAAACATTTTTCCTTCCTACCACTCCCCTTCCCAAGACAATTTCCTTATTTCACATACAACAAAGACACTCAGCGTTATCTGAGTGAAAGAAGGTCCAAAAATTGGATTCAAAGGAAAGAAGTGGGACGAACAGACACATTAAGAACTGTTCTCCACTGCTTCTCAGGATAACTCAAGGTCAGTTCATCTCCCACTACCTTGCCCAAGGGAAGGACTCCACCGACACACCTAGTGGTTACTTTAAATGTCCGCTAAGCTGTTTTTAACAAACACTATCTGTAAGCACTTTTAGTAGCAGTATGCTATGGAAACCCGTTCTCCAGACCCAGGCTAGCTTTTGCAATTGGTAGGTGTGAGATCAACGTTCCGATCAGATGTACTCAATCATGAACGTCAAGTAATAGGGAAAAAATGTATCATATTCACGTGTTTCCTACAGACGACTCACACAGTTTGAGAAATGATAAAGTTGTAAGACTTCCTAGAGAAGCTATTTCAGAGTCGGTACTCTCTCAAACATACTATCTGTGTAAAGATTACAATAGCTCTTAAGTTATAATTCCTATACATAAATGCGTGGTTTTTTGCTACAGATCATGTTACGAAGGTCTTAGACACAAAACTATTCAGTGTCTCCTTCTTGCAGCCTTATATCCATAAATAAAATATGGGAAAGTATATTTATATCCATAAATAAAATATTGGTGTACCCTGTGGAAAACTTTTATAAACGCACAGGTTTGAGATGAAGGATAGAGCTCCAGCTTATTTTTCTTGAATCTTGGTTAAGTCTCTTAACCGGTAGATTGCGTGATTATCTTCCCACAGGAGCTGAATATTGAAGAAATGCTAAAATAGCAATGTTTTATCATACTGAATGGGCTGGCAATTGCATTTCAACTATGTGGAAAAGTGAGGAAGTAACTTGGGTGCACATGTAACCTCAAAGACCAACAATGAGGCACAGCTCTACGCCTATCCCTCTGGTGCCCCCCCCCCCTCACCTGACCCCTACCCCTGCTCCTTGCTCCTTTCTGAACACCAATGGAAGGCCTCTCTTTCAAGTGCTGTTGTACCGGAAGCAGAAGTCCCCACACCAAACTGCTGCGCCTTCCGGCATAACTAGCCCATTATTGAGTAGGAGAATTATGACATCAGCAGCACGTTAGCCAATTACTCTACCGAATAGTTCACATCCACTGACCCACCTGCCGCCATGTCACGGGCTGGATCTCTTAAGAATAGCTGCTATAGTTTACTCTCTTTAATTTGAATTTACTGTGACACGGGCTTCACGTCTGACAATCTGTGAAACAACAATAGAAATGCAGGTAGCATTCAGTTGCATTTTAGTTGACTGTCATTTTGGAATGCCACACCTAGACATCACGCAGGGCGACACGTGGGTACAAAAGGTGGGAAAAGACTAACTCAACAGTCTCATATTTACGCTCTCAGTAAAGCACCCTGAGCAGCCCCCGGAATTTCACATTACAGGGGCTCTGATGGTCTTTCTTACAATGTCTTACACATTTTCAGTGCAGGATGCCTTTAATCCTACTTAGGGCATGTTGGGGAGACGGGCGGGAGGGAGGGGTTCTCCTGTGGTTTCCAGAGCCCCACAGAAAGCTAAGCTATCCAAAACACATAAAAATAACTACAACCAGGGGCACCTGGCTGGCTCAGGCCGTAGAGCCTACAACTCTTGATTTCGGGATCGTGAGTTCAAGCCCCATGTTGGGCACAGAGCTCACTACAAAAATAAAAAATTAAAATACGAAATAACTTTAACCACATAACGATGTGAAGAAGAGTTTAACACTGTCGTGTCTTAAACACATGCAAGCTGTGAAAGAAAATAAAGTTCCTCACGATGTTAACCGTTGCCAACTATCAAGACAGAAAAAAACCTATCTCAAAATCTTATAAGAGAATCAGGTTAACATTAAAAATGAACTCTTTGACGTACCCAAGCTATGTGGTCGTTTCATATTACTGAATCTGTGGGTAAATATTAATTGCCATGTAACTGAATTATTTTCAAAGCATCTCTTTGCACGACTGCCTCTCTGTTTAGGTTTCCTATGTAGTCGAAAAAGAAATTCTTTTGACTGGACAGGGAAGGAGAGACAACTTCTGTCAAAGAATAAACGTATTACTCTAATAATCAAGAAAATATAAGCGAGGAAAAATAATGGAGAGAAGGATTCTTTGAAAGAATCTGCTCTTCTAAATTGTGAAGACAAGAGACCAAACAATTTGAGACATCAGCCTGCCCCTCACACTTTGTCTCTCTCTCTCTCAAAAATAAACATTAAAAACATTTTTAAAAAATTTTAGTGATAATAATTAAATAAGATTTGTTTCTTAAAAATAAACAAGCAAAAACAATACATAAGCAGATGAGAAAGCTACAAAAATTAATAAGAAATGCATGATTATTCAGTCTTATGAAAATTTTAAAAAGAAATCTTCGGTTCAGCAGAGAACCAGCAAGATCGCTTTTATTCTAATGATTTTTATTTGCTAATAAATTTTAGCAATACAAACATGTACTTAAGTGTACTTGATTATTATATACGTTCATTCTTTTTTTGGCCCTAAATTTGACCCATGGGATCAGAGATCAACTTAGTACAGAATATATCTGATCACTTAGTCACTATAAACAGCATCAGAGCTACCTGGGGTGATCTAGCTTTGTTTGTTTTCTTTTTTTCTTTGAGGGTAAAGATGACTTTAAGTGACAGTTACCATAAATTTTTATGTGGGCCCATTAAACTTAGAAAAATAACACAGAAAACAGGCACAGCTGAGTCTATATGAACAGGCAACAGTCTAAATACACATATTGGGGGTTACTTGAACGAGACAAGGATCACTAAAATAATCACAGGTGTTTGCTGTGTATTTAGTCGATGACGAGTCAGATACAGCCAAAGTGCAATCATCTACACTAATTAACACACCAGAGTTCTCAAAAAGAACTTGGCAATTTTAATGCTATTATCGGACTTTCCTGTTACTTTATCGTCATTATGAAATACAGAATATTTTCTGACCTGAGGTATTGTATAGTTATCGTCAACTAAGTGACTAGACCATACTTTGAAACAAGTTTGAACAAAAGAACTAGGACTGTTACACAGCCACAATTAGATGTTTCTAAGATAACTCTCCCAGCTCCTTCAAGTTTTTTTTTTCTCCAACCACCCTCCCTTATACCTAACTTTTTCGGTGGCTAATCTACAGTTAATCAGTGTCCTCTACCCTCCTCCAAACAGGTTACAAGCATAACGTCCGGCCTGAACACCTTTCACCACCCCATCTGATACGAACACCACTGCGCAGAATCTCTTCATTTCTGGAACGGTCTCAGGTTCCTTGACCACCATCACAGTTCACTGATGGTGCAAATTTGTGTTTGCCACGGGTCATTTTATTTGTTTTTTTTTAAATTTTTAAAAAATTTTTTTTTCAACGTTTTATTTTTATTTTTGGGACAGAGAGAGACAGAGCATGAACGGGGGAGGGGCAGAGAGAGAGGGAGACACAGAATCGGAAACAGGCTCCAGGCTCCGAGCCATCAGCCCAGAGCCTGACACGGGGCTCGAACTCACGGACCGCGAGATCGTGACCTGGCTGAAGTCGGACGCTTAACCGACTGCGCCACCCAGGCGCCCCGCCACGGGTCATTTTAAACTTAAAATCCAATTAGCTTCTTAAAAGCTGTTCTCATATAACATTATTCAATTATTCGTTTAAGAAAGAATGGCAACTACACTAGGTCCCACCCGTACCAGTATTAGATGTGCACAGTCCCCACACACAACTAGCTCGCACACTACCACGCCAAGCACAGCAAAACGCTTCCTCCCTCAAAGCTCTTACACTGGCCCCGCAAGAACTTATTTTCCTTCTTTATTCTATAATGCCTTTCTTCTCACGCCACTGGCGCAGCTTTTCAAGTATCTTCATCTTGCCCTTCAACACTTACTGAGTCGCAACCATGCACTTGGTAAGGTGCTAGAAGCTGATTTGGTGCCACAGGATACAACGGTGCGCAAAACGGTTACTCAGGGCCCTCCTCATCTGTCCTAACTTTCTCAGTGGCTTTATAACTCTCCTGCAACCCAGTGATCTTTCACCTTTGACACTCTCATTTTTTCATACCCCACAACTCATCAGTAACCACATCCTGCTAATCTCATTCACGCTGGATAACTACCCAGGCAAAAGGGGCCACTTCCCTGGGATCTTCCCCATAAAATGAGAAATCTGCCCAGCCCAGGGCCATGCTCTCTGACTCCTCTGGACTCTACCTTGGCAAATTTCCAGGAGTCGGATCCCCTCGCAGAGCCCTGGACTATCGGCCCCAGGGCAGATGGAGAGGCGGGCATACCCACCTCCAGACCCAAGAGGTAGTCAAGACATAGCTTGCAAGGAATAGGGCACGTGGACACGTTACAGCAAAGAGCCTAGGAGACGGGGAGGAGGAGGCAGACTTCAGGACAGGGACAAGATGACAGAAGGCCAGTCCTCCCTTTGCCACTATATTCTAGAAGAGAACCAAAAAATCTGAGAATTATTTTTTTAATTTTTTTAATGTTTATTTTTGAGATAGAGAGAGACAGAGCATGAGTGGGGGAAGGGCAGAGAGCAAGAGGGAGACATAGAATCCGAAGCAGGCTCCAGGCTCTGAGCTGTCAGCACAGAGCCCGACACAGATTAATCTCCCTAAAGCACCATTTTCACCTTCACGTTTGAGCCACGGTAAAAGTAAACGCTGGTTGGTTACGCCCTGTCCGGTCAAGTTCCAAATCCTTCGCCCAATTTTCCATTCCACTCCATCTGCTTCGTTATTTCCCAAGAAATTCTTCACACCAAGATGATGTGCCTCTACCTCTAGTACGTGCTGAACTCCTTCCTCACGGCAATACACCCATACACCCTTCAAGATGCATCTCATGTCCACCCTCCTTCCGGAAGACTTCTCTAAAATTATTCCAGACCAGAACCTTGTCTCCATTTTTCTGAGTCACCATAGTACTGATGGTCTCGAATCAGTCAACAGGTAACTAAGCTGTGTGCTCGTCACGGGGGGAACCACAAAGGACAGGGCTCTTTATAGACTTCAAATCGCTTCATGGAGTTATTCTCGTTGGAAGGCAGCATAGGAGAGACGGGTAAAGTGCCCCCAAAGGCAGAGCACCTGGCTAAAAATCTGCTTTGATCACACATTAGCATGGACGTTGGTGTGAAGTTGCATAGTAAAGTAATAAAAACCAGTTCTTGTCTAGTAAGCAGACTTTTTGGTCCTGGAACCCACTTAGGTCTTAAATTTTTTTTTGAGACCCCCCAAAGGACTTTTGTTTCTGTGTGTTCTGTCTGGTGGGGCACTGATAAATGTCTGTCAGCTCCCCTTCCGACCCCTCAAAAGAGCCAGATTTGTAGCTTTTGCTCATTTCCATAGTGTAAATACTCCCAACATGACTCATTTCAAGCTAGCAATGTAACAACTGAATGTGGAATGCGGAGTTAAGAGGAGATGGGCAATGTTGACTCTCTCCAGCTAGTAATAATAAGCTTTGGTACGTCACCAGCTATGTCTATCCAGTCAGTATATTAGAAAATAAAGTAGAAAAGCAGTATTAATTTGAAAGTGACAATAAAACCATTACATCTTAACATAAACATGTTTATGAAGTATACCTAAATTTTCCCAAAGAAAAAAACATTAATGAATTAATGAGAACAGTGGCATTGTTTTCTGTTTTTATAAATTTCTTTTAACATCTTGCTCAATAGAAGACAACTGGCTTCCCAGGGCACCTCTCCGACTTCGGGTCAGGTCATGATCTCATGGTTTGTGAGTTTGAGCCCTGCCTCAGGCTCTCTGCTGTCAACATGGAGCCCGCTTCAGGTCCTCTGTCGTCCCCCACCCCCCACCATCTCTGCCCCTTCCCTGCTTACACTCTCTCTCTCTCTCTCTCTGAAAACTAAAAACATTAAAATAAAAAACTAAAAAACTAAACAAGAAGACGATTGGCTTCTCACGTAGACTTCTCCACTCAATCTGCCATCTGGGTTGAGTATATTAAGAAAATGCAGCCTCACATACACATGGTTTTAAGAGGAAGGACCTCCTGGGGTTGGTGACCCTAGGTGTCCTCTGTTCACATGTAGAGCAGCATTTATGTACAGTATACAGTTTGCAGAAAACACGTTCATGTGAAAAGACCTTACCAATAGTGAGAGTTTAGACTAGTCTTGCAGTTTAGTTTTCTCACCTAGCAATTATCTCCATATGAGTAATTCTAACTTGAGACTGTACTGAAAAGCAAGTGTATGCTATCCCATACGTATGTGTGTATATTTACATACACATGTATATAAATGTGTATGTACACATACTATAGCTCCCCAATTCAACAACTCAAAGCAGTAAGAATCTCAAGGGGAAAAAAAAGATAACATGAAAAAGAACAAGTGAAAACTTCTTCATTTGTAGGAGAAAAACTTCTATGCAAAGAGAGTATTTATGAAGCTAATGTATGAATCTTCACTGAGCTGGACATACTATTCAATTAAACATAAAAGGTACAATTATGTTCTACATTTTTACAAGTGGACAACTGTACCTTATGTACAAGATAAGTCAGAGTTACATATTCGTGGATGTCAAAAAACCGGCTTCTGTCAGAACAGAATTGTATTTCATTTGGCTCTGAAATTTAAAACCTGAAGATGATCTCATGGCTCATGAGTTCGAGCCCTGTATCATGAGTCTGAGCCTTGTATCAGGCTCTGCACTGACAGCATGGAGACTGCTCAGGATTCTCTCTCCCCTTCTCTGCCCCTTCTCTGCTC